GGGAGTGGAAAACAGGTGGTGAGGTAATGGTCGGTGCACAGATAACTAGTGGTCGGAGAGTGAATGACAGGTGGTCGATAAGTGGTCTGACGAATTGTGGTCATTACCTTGTTAGGAAATGGTTAGGTATGCTTAAGTCATCGTGTTTCACATCTGTCATCATTATTTCCAGGCGCCTGTCGTGGTTTACGGGGACACAGAAGAGACATGCGCAGTACTAGTGATATCTAACATGGCTGTATACATCTGTAAACTGGTCGAGACAGCTGGGTTAGTCTGTATTATATACCTATTTTTATTCCCACACTTGAAGAGATAAAATAGGAAATGAGAACTGGGGAATGGGATTTGAAGTACTGGGAATAGGAAGTCATCAAAATGGAAATGGGATTACTTTTTACTGGAACAAAAGTGGTTTTGAAAGGCTGATAGTCTATCACTGGAAAATCTCCAAACAGGAGAGATTAAAAAGTGATCCAAACCACAAGATCAGACTGTTAAGCTATTTTTCTGTCGATGGCTTGATCGCCCCCAAACATGACAAAAGAATAAAAGAAATGCAGTTTTTTTTTTTTACAAACTTCATTCCTGAGACCGTGATTTTGCCAAAAATTTGACAGGGAAATGAAGTTGTGAACCCCGTACTTTGATAGATCTCTTTCCCTTGGGCGTACTTTTCCTATTTCAGACTACTTCTCATTCCCTAGAGTATCATTTCTTTGTTTAACTGTTGCGCACGAGAAGACACATGAATATGGATACCGCTCAAACGAAGAATTTTACTCTCAATAGAATAACACGTACTCTGAAATAGGAAAAAATTTACGCCCTAGTTAAGCGGAGGTCTATTCAGAGTCGCGTTATTATGGAATTTATCAAGAATTGAGTATGATGTGGATTGGTTCTCTACAGGTTGAGCGCTGATGAATGTTTGTCTCTGATTTCATCTCACTCGCTTGATCATTTACAGTACGTTGATTTTAGTTTTGGATGTCAGGTAAGGCGGTGCTTTCCATATGTAACACTACCAAGGGGTTCACTCCCATCAACAACACACCACACCCATAACCTAAATATTAAATGTTTTATTTATTTATTTTTATTTATTTTATACTCCAAAAAGTCACGTGATTGATAGTAAGCAATTAACATTGTTAAATGGCGTTATTACTCTCCCCTACCCCCATCCCACAAAATTGTAAGAGATATGCAACCCGCGTTAATAATCCATAAATTTCTCTGCCTGTCCGTCCGTCCGTCCGTCGGTCGGCGGTCGGGTGGTCGGTCGGTTTGTCTCTAAGTCTAAGTCTGTCTTTGTGTCGTTCTGTACAATAATCGGGTTTTTTCCCTTGTCATTTCTAGACTTTTCGATTGGAATTTAACGGAGAATCGCCAGCTTGCTACACGTTCAACGTCAGGGACAAGAATCGATGTGAAGCTTTTCTTCACCTTCTCATAAGTATGTCTCACCATTTTCACAGAAAGGATGTTGAATGCAAAGCTAACGAGAGAAAAAATCAGAAAAAATAGCTTTTTGTATTTGTATGTTACAATATGTTATTTGAATATATAAACCTATTTAAATGAAGTTTGTCACTTGAGAAGTTGCAAAGGTGAGTCCAACAAGGATTCTGTGTAGATATATTTGACTGCTTCGGCCACTTGATAACTACTGATGGACTTGAGCTTTTTATCAGTCAGTACAACTTTTACCTCAAAACTTGTTTGCATCTATATATTTGACCGACTTGTTTGATTTGACTAAAATAATTATAGTCTTCTCGCCCTCATGGTATCAGAGGACTCTAGGACTCTACTAGTCTATGCTAAACCGTTACTCTGCTGTATCCAACCTTATATTTTCTAGAATCAGCCAATTTACACAGGGGTAGTCAGGAACTGGAGCCCCTCAAGACAACAAGGTCCAACCCACAGACTCTTGCTCATATCAGGTAAAGTAGTCGGGTCTTTTTCGAGTTGGCAAATAAACGTACTCTTTCTAATATTGAATACAGACTCATTGACTGAACGTGCGGGAGGCTTAACTAGGCTTAAAGTGCGAAACTTAGAGCGCAAAAAAGCTATCCGCTCTCATTACTTTTTGTAATCCTTGCAGCAACAAAAATTATTGATGAAACGGGCGAAATTCGTGATGTTTTGCGAGAATTTGCCGCAGGTTAGCCAGCTCATTTCAGCGTCAAACTGAATCTATACATTTATCTTCAGGTCACAGGTGCTTGGTATACAAGAGAAGAACCTCTGTGCTGTGGTAAATATAATCACATAATAGCTTGGATTTGTTGAAGAGCGTGCTGTAAAAGATAGATCACAGTCAGAAGGCTCTAACTGACCAGCCCACAAAACCCATCAACATACCTAGCTAAATAACCAACCAACGAACCGTCAAAACGCCCACCAACTTCACAGTTAACCCACTAACAACCAACTACTCAATAGACACGTTTCGAATTCCAAATTACCGCTGTGTTTCTTGATCACAGACTCATTTACTCAGGGTTAGCCTTGAGTTTGTGCAGAATATTCACGTGTTCCAGTCAAGGTCCGTCGAGTTTCAAAATGTTTGTATTGTTAAAGTTGTGCGTTCTTTACTTTTCTGTTGATGTTTGTGAATATTTAAACTCTGATACGAGGCTAACCCTGTGCAAATGAGTCTGTAATCAAGGAACACAGCGGTAATTTGGAATTCGAAACTTGCCTATTAGACAACCAACACATCAACCCATCACCAACTCACAAAAAAAACCTACTCCTCCTCGACCAACTAACCAAACCACCGATCAATCCACGTGTAGGCGTTTTAAACGGCGCTGCCTCGGGAGTAGGTCGAAAGTTGAGATGCGTGTATTTTCACAGGTTTTATTCAACGTTGTTCGTCGATCAATTACATATATCCTTTGTAATCAGTTTGCACGTTTACACGAACATACGTTCACACGAATACGCGATTCGCTGTAGATCAAAAATTTATAGTCATCAAAATGTCATTTAACTTCTAACAAACTCAAAAAATAAATTTACACATTTTTGGCTGTCCCGAGGGGATTCTAGGACAGTCTCACTCTCCTCTAGTTACAGTAAACCCCTGACTCTCTTTACTGCTATATACGACTCCCCCTGACCCTCCGAATTAGCACTTCCACATGAAGCCCGTGCAAAAATATTCATACGTCACAACACCACGACCAGCTACACACCAACCCACACATAATCAAATCACAACCAACAAACTAATCAATTCAATATCCAACTAAACACATATATCAATTATTACTGAATCACTGATAGATTTCCTTTCTGATAGGGTGAACGGTTTCTTGAGCAGTTGAATCATTTTACAGAACCACCTTTGATCAAAGATAGAAAGGTTTGTTCTTTATATGATTATCATGGCAATCCTTAGATGGTATAATACTAGGAGGTTGTGTTGGTGATAATGTTATCATAACATTATTTACTGGTGTTGTCAATGATAATCGTGGTTGTTGTGTATTTTTACCAGAGTCTTCTACGAAGTTACCCCGCCTGTTTTGTGGGGAAAGAATTTATCGACTGGCTGATTCGATACGGAGAAGTCACAACCAGACAAGAGGTACGTCATATCATCCCTCTATGCAAGTGAAATATTATCATGGGAATATGGGATTGTCAAAAAGGTTGGTTAAAACTGTACTGGAAACTGGAAACCGTTACGTTTGTGGAACTCTCCAATAGACCTATCCCGAATTCGCATGACTGACCACGGAACGATGGTTTGAAGTCGAGATTGAACTTGATTCTTTTATTCATCAAGTTCAACCTCGACTTGAAACCATTGTTTCGTGATCAGTCAAGCGAATTCGGGATAGGTCTATTCGCTAAGGTTAGAATTATGAACGTTTCCTTATAGGCACAACAAGCCTTGAATCGTGTATGTCTAAGTGCAATAAGTTTACAGAACGACCGAGTCTTGTGCATCTGTAATTTTAATAACATCCTTCTTTCCTAGGGTGTAGAGTTGGCGCAGGATCTTGTCGAAGGCGGTGTGATTGAACACGTGTCCAAAGAAAATAGATTCGAAGACAAGGAACAGTTCTACAGGTTCACTGCGAACGACAGCAAGGCAGAGGTGAGTACATCTTGCCTGTTGCCTGTTTTTCTCCTGTATAGGATTCTTGGAGCGCAACCACATGTCTCAAAATCCCTTGAGATATATTCATATTTAAGAAAAACGTCGATCGGAGATCTAAAATATGAAATCGCAGATCGATTAACACACTGCATCACCACCGCAAGTAAAGCAGTGGTGCAGCTCAAAAGGGTTGAACTGAACGCTTGTGAAGGCGCCTCTGGCAGCCGCTATACAGCGCATGTATGACCCCGGAGCACGGCTCTGACCATTTTGAATTAGAAAAAAACCGGAGAGCCAGAAAAGCCCTCGGAGTCAGAAAACCAATCAACTCAGCTCACATATAAATAAGATATGAATAAGATATATAAATAAGCTCAGATATAAATAAGCTCCCGACTTGTCCTAATGATTTTTAATCTCTTATAGAGGAGTGCTTCAACAGGAGAGGATGGCAGTCCAAGAAATATCGAGATGACTGCGAGTGATATTGATACACATCTGTCAGCATTCATAATGGGCTACAAGATACAAGACATTAACAAACCACGTGAGTTACTGTCCTTATCTGTATATGGGGTTCCTGTGTCTAAAGAATATTGGGATTGGGATTGGGTTTGAATCAGGTGTCACTCCCGAAGACCCCTTGCGTGTGAAGTCAAAGCTGCTCAATTTGGAGGACTAAACAAAACGATTCCAATCCACATGTAATTCTCTTGAGAATAACATTATTTGTTTCAGTTGAATCCATAATCATGTGTCTTGTTATTTCCAAGCCGTTAAAAAAATGATACTCTAGGATAGGAAATGACACGAATTAAAACATTACGTCCAAGGTAAAGAGGTCTCTAGTGGCTCGTTCGTAACATCTCACTCATATCTACGATACCAGGGAAAACCTGACAATTCTCACGTTTGTTTTTATGAAGGAAGGAAACTTGAGAACCCAGAAATAAGGCAATCATATCTTGACATTGCCGTCAGGAGTCATGTTTATGAATTTGTTTATTTGCTTTTCTCTGACTTTTTCGTGTTTTACAATACTCCAGTGTCGATTTCTCTGTTTCTCAGGGATATCCTATATTTGTGCACTAGAATATTCATGTGTTCCAGTGAATGTTCGTGGAATTTCAAAGTGTTTGCATTGTTGAAGTTTTGCATTCTTTACTTTACTGTTGGTATTTGTGTAAATGAGTCTGTAATCAAGGAAAACAGTGGTAATTTGGAACTCGAAACTGGCCTATAAGCCTGAAGCGAGATGACGTTTTACCCCCGACTCTATACCATAATAGTTTTTAAAATTCTTTCATATTAAAACTTTTGATTCCTTAGAGAATACAGGAACAATAGTCTTAATTAAAGAACAAAAGCAATGGGCCACTGGGGCCACTGGGTTTTCAGTACGATGCGTTTTATTGTAACTGTTGTGTGTCCCCTCTTTAAATAAAGTTTTATTATTATTATTATTATTATTATTATTAATGTGAAAAGGATTTTGGTCTAGAGACGGTGTTAAAATTTCATCTCGCTTGAGGCTTATTAGACCATCATAATCACGTGTTTTAATGCTTTATATTTTTAAGTTGGAGACTTGAAACCAGTAACTATCATTGTGACCCGGACCCATATCGCGTTAGCTGAGCAAAACCCTCAGTGGCCCTTCCCCAGGTACCTTGAAACAGCGCCTACGGTATCTGGACCACAGTTTCATTGTATAGCAAAATACAAGATGACGGATGTCGCAAGTTTGGTAAGTGAGAGAAACACTGATGAGAATATGATTCTTTGTTTGAGTTGTATCTATATTCATGTGCCTTTTCATGTGCAATTTAAAGTTTTTTTTTCAAATTTTGGTGCACCTCATTGGTTATTGATGTTTATAAAATATGTTTATGAATGTCGCGTTCTGATTGGTTTGGAGCGCGTGCTTTATGAGAGCACATTGCACGCGCGCGCACTTTCCCTTGCGTCATTTTATAAAAGAAATAAAAAACTTGCTTGCTGTGCTGTGTGCAGTCATAAAGCACTTGGGGATTGGCAGAACATTCGAGAAGTGTCCAGAAGCACTCCGCTACGCATCGTGCTTCTCCTAACACTTCTCTCGCGTTCTGCCAACCCCCGCGTGCTTTATAACAGCACACAACACGCGCGCGCGTTTTCTATTTCTTCAGTATCCTTTTTGATCTCGTGGGATCGATTATTAATTTTATTAACTGGATTAATATGTTCAAATTCTAGGAATTCTTCTCAGACAGTCCTTGCCATAATGCCATAGTGATCTCAGAAGAGGTAAAAATCAGAAAAGAAGATCTTGATTTCTGAGATCTTTTATTTCAAAATTCGCCTTCAGCGATAAGCATTCGTTCAATAGGACTATAATAATAGTCCCTTTAGCAGTTCCTGCGCCACCTTTTTTAACTCCTTGAACAACTTCACATTGTCTCTATCATTGCAAGCTCACCGTTCGTCTTGCTTCGATGCAAAGGCACGGCTGCTTTTCAAGATGGCGCAGGAAACTGTGAAGGGGAGTGACTATTGGTTAAGTATAATTTTAGACTTATATATCAAAGAAAAGAAAAAAATCAGGATTAAAAAATATATTATTATTTCCGCTTTGGTGATTTTTGGTGAATATCATCTCATAGTCACGGGTCCCTCTTCCAATCACAGCGCTCGAAACTCTATATTCAATTCAAAAATTATCATTAAACAGGGTTCGAGCTACTCCTTAATCTCCTTGAAAACTCCTTGAATTTAATTCATTTTCAAGGGCACTTGAAAAGCTCTTGAATTTTATGATTTTAGTGAACCTCCTTGAAAACTCCTGAATTTTTGCTTTGATCATTACTTGCATGCTTCTGAAATAGATCTAGTCAGAAAAGACTGGAGAATCTGAAAGTCGGCCATATGCAACCACTGTGTAAAACCTTGGCATATTTAGCTGAACATACTCCTTGAAATTTCATTTTTGGGTCCTTGTATACTCCTTGAATAGTCCTTGAATTTTAGAAATTTAAGTGGTTACCTCAGCACGAACCCTGATTAAAGTGCGATGTGTTCTTTTAATGATAGGATGGTCCACTAGAGTGTGCAGACAGTTATGTATTGATCAAAACAGAAACCAGTGACTCATTGTCATCCATTGTCAAAGCTATCAGAGAACCTTGGGAAGAACAGTTTGGAGTGGAACTACAAACAACATTTATCCCTTCACTTGCCAGAGATACTATCTAGCCCTTCTTGTTATAAAACAACATCGAACTATATTATTTTTCCATTCTTTAATCATTATTTTTTTATTTTTTTATTTTTTAACAACGAATATAAGACATACATATGATAATGAAGTATGAATGACGAGAGGTGAAAGAGAGAAAGAACTCATAACTATATTATTTTTCCATTCTTTATTTTAGTTTTATTTTTATTTTTTTAACAACGAATATAAGACATACGTATGATAATGAAGTAGGGATGACGAGAGGTGAAACCGAGAAAGAACTCATAGAAAAATCAGAGCTCCAGATGAGATTTGAACACACGACTTTCAGTTATCTAGTCGGACGCTCAAAACAAATCCTAACTACAACTCAGATTGTTTCTGAGTTCTTACTCTCTTTCGGCTCTCCTCATTCATTTTGTTATTTTTTAGCATTAGTATTTTCATAAATTTTATAATTATTTTCTACTCATGAAAGAGGAAAAAATGTTTTTTGATATAACAGAATGTTTGTTTATTTTTAATGTATAATTTCGAAGTATGCTCAAAGATGAAAGAAAATGTCTGAGGAAAGAGTTTTATCTTTTGGTAAAGACGCTAATATTCATAATAATCGCAATCATTTTTAGAGGCTCGGTTTAAAATATAATTTTTTGCTGGGAACCATCAATTTTGTTATGAGCCGCGCTAAATTCTTATTAGTATTTAATTTTAATGTAGAATAAAGCTTAATTATTTATTATAGACATTAATATTGTATTCATCGCGTGAAATTAAACCATATCAAGATTTATTTGTAAAAGATTGTTTTGAATAAATCCATTTTTTATAGAGTTTTAATCCATGATTTTTTTATAAGTTTTTGTGAGATAGCGAACATTGTGCTTTGTGATCTAGCTTGGATACAAACATTTTATATCATACCTTATATGGTATTGTTTGTACTCAAGCTATAACCAAATGCATCCTAGTACTTCAGTTTTCCTAGTTAATATAAGCTGAAATAAGGTCTACATATGAGCCATGCATTCCGAGAATGAGGAAAAGAGTGGGTGGAGTCGCGCGCTGATTGGTCGAGAAACTCACTATCGCGGCCAGCCGCTTTGTTGCTGTTACCGGGAATAAAAAGTCTTTTATCTTCTTCTTTCTCTCTCTCTCTCTTTTTTTTTTTTTTTTTTTTTTTTTTTT